GACAAAAGTATTGCTCATTGTTAGTAATTGTTAGTCAATGCATTAACTAATGTTTTCTTATTGTAAAGTGTTACCAATATTTCTTATTCATTCTTCTTATTATTATCAGTGCTAAAAACAGTTGAGCTGCTTAATATTTTTGTGGAAACTGTAATACAGTTTTATCAGGCTTCTTTCTTTGATGAATAGAAAGTTCAAAAGAACAGCACTTTTGTACCATTCTAAATGTCTTTACTGTCATTTTTTGATCAATTTAACGCATCCTTACTGAATAAAAGTATTAATTCCTTTAAAAAAAAATCTTACCACAAACGTAAACTGTATTGCAAATTGTTTTATACCAGTGACTACCGGCAGTTTCATTTTGGCACTGAAACAGTCACGATCATTTTTGTAGATGTTTTGAGTTCCTCATGATAAGAGCCATTTAATACATGGAGTTAAATATATATAAAAGTATATCACATCTATGTTCTGTTTCCACAGATTATGGTAGATGTGGATGACAGGAACGATTGGAAAGAATGCATTGATTTCGGAGGTGTCCGCCTCCCTACAGGATACTATTTTGGGGCTTCTGCGGCCACAGGAGATCTTTCTGGTAAGTGTTACTTCTAAATCTCCCCTAGATGTCCACAGTGATCCTGATTAGGGTTGGGTACCGAACTCGGTACTTTTAAGGGTACCGACCGAATTGCGTCGGTACTACCGAGTACCGATTCACGTTAAATCAATCGGTGCCAAATTTTGGTACCTGAGAACGCATCTGGGCGCATACGCTACAGAGAGAGAAAGAGAGACCCTGTGACGTGAGGTCACCCCTGCAACTCGTTCAAACAACACACAGGGCAAGCCGAAATGTTCTGAAGTAGGGATGTAACGATTACCGGTTTGACCATAAATCATGATAAAATTCCCCACGCTTAGTATTACCGTTTCATCTTTTAATTATAATTAAAACCGTATTAGATTACCACGATTTGAACAACTCGCGATTTAAATAAAGCAATTAAATGATAAAAATAAATATTACAACTAGATGAATCACTTAATTGTAGAAAAAAAATAATACAATTATTAGCCTATTAAAAAATGTTTTAAAGGAATATTCACACAATTTTTCTTCCATGTATTAATTTAATTAAGTTTGTTTGCCAAAAAATAAAAGGATTTAATTTTCATTTGATTTAAAATAAATATTTTTATGCCTTCATTTCATTTTCAGAAAAATGAAAACAAGAATTTCTGGAAAGAAAGAAAGAAAGAAAAAGTTTGTAGGGCCCTATTGTTCAAAATGTTGAAATTGAGACTTTTGGACTTATTTTTTCACTGAAATAAATGTTTTTGTAATTACACAGAGAGTAAAGTACCGAAAAAAGGTACCGTTGGGTACCGTACCGGTTCTAATGTGAACGGTACCCAACCCTAATCCTGATGCCTTTTGCCAGACCTCACTGATACTGTTTGCTCTGTGCAGATAATCACGACATCATCTCTATGAAGATGTACCAGCTGATGGTGGAACACGCTCCTGAGGAGGACAACCAGGACTGGACGAAGATCGAGCCTAGTGTCAGTCTCCTCAAGTCACCGAAAGGTAACACAGCTGATATGTAGTTATAGACATATTGTTGGCAGACAGAAAGATTTTTCATTCAATCGCTTGTCATGTTCACATCTTCTCCCCCAAAACAGACAATATTGATGATCCGACGGGAAATTTCCGAAGCACGCCACTCACTGGCTGGAAGGTCTTCCTGCTTCTGCTGTGCGCTCTGCTGGGAATCGTGGTTTGCGCCGTTGTTGGTGCCGTAGTCTTTCAGAAGCGTCAAGAGAGGAACAAGAGGTTCTACTAAACAACAGGATTTCAAAGAACTCTGGAGATTGTAGGTGAACAAAAAAAACATTAATGTGAATTTTGAACAGCATGTGGATATTATTGAACTGCTCGACTGGAAGGAAAAATGGTTTGAGGCTTCAAAGAAACGTTTCTTCATGTTGGTCTTGATTTGGGTCTAGCCGAGGTAAATGACACATTTTCAATGCGGTCTACGGTAGTACATCTTAATTTTTGTGTGTACCCTTTATATACTTGATTTAGCTTAATTCTCTAAATCCTTGGTGGTTTATTTTCTTATTGTTTCAACCCTTTATCTGTGTTTCTTTTCCATCTACACATTGCTTCGTTCTGCTCTGGAGTGCTGATTTTGTTTTATAACCTGTGTGATTTACTTAAGAGGATTTTAATGGACTGCACAAGAAATCAGACTGATGAAAAGTGTCCTCTTAAATCGGTCAAATCAATGTAAATATTTTAAGTTGCTGCCCTAGTCCCTTTGCTCTATGGCATAATGATTGAGCCTTGTTTTTTAACCATAGGAGTTGAAAATATTGAACCAAAAAATACATTTTCATTTGTTTTATTACTGCAGGGTAACAAGAGTTCAGCCTTGTGTGAGTTGAGTTGTTTTTCTTACATCTTTCTGTTAAGTTTGCTATTTTTTGCGCCTCTGTAAGAAGTTATTGCAATGCACTGATTTACAGTTGTTTCTGAAAGAAGTTCACATTTAAATGGGCAGTGACTGTAAAATTATGCTTTTGGTGAGAAAATAAAGCAGTTACAACAGTTAACTAGTCAAATATTTTTCCTTTTTTCAGTTTTTAACAGTTGAACCGTTTTTTTTTTCTTTCTTATTTTGCCCTTAATTATTAGGACCCAATTTATGCCATATTCATATTAAACCACTAGTGTTCAAAAATAATTAATAATAAAAATGTGTAACTAACAATGTTTTTGTACAACAATATGGTCAGGATTCAGGACCGGTACAAATTCATATAGTTTTGTCACTGTCTGCAGCTGCACACTGTGAAGCAGCATCATGATATGTTTATCTCAAGACGTTTCAGAGTCTCGTCCCAAAAAATGCTTTTGTGCACAGAAATATGAAACGGTTTAAATATCTTGTACATAAGCATTTATTACTAATTTGATAGCATCAGATTCAGTCAGAACAATCTAGTGGTGTTGAAAAATCATCAGCTGTAAAAATCATGGACTGTATGGATTGTATCACTCAGCCTGGTTTTCATCTATCTATCTGTATTTATTTATTTTGCACAAGGGAATGGTTAGGTATATGTACAGAGGCCACTAATCACCGTGTAGGTAAACTGAAGAATCACCCCTTTCTTCTTTCTTGCCTATATGGTGATTAGATTCACTGTTTTGGACTGCTGTTTTCCCAGCATTAGCAGGACTTGTTATTGATAGGCTCAGTCCTGTTTTTTGTTTTTTCATGGCAGAAAGTGCCATGATAGAGCTGTATAATTGTTCTATAGGCTTCTAATAAAGCTCTCAGTGCATGCTAGAGCCAACAGGCCGATGCCAAGCAAGGTATCTGGGCTGCTCATGACTGTTGTAAAATAACTTTTTACAGTATTCGCCAGCCTTCTTCCCCGTGAGTGCTCAGTGGGTTCAGTCCGGGCTATTTCTTGCCTGTCACTGGAGCTGAGAGCTGTTTTCACTGTGCTTTGCCAGGACCTTAATGATCATGTCTTGGCCCCACATGATAAACATCAGTTTGCCCATAAGCTCTGAAAAATTCAGTCGATAGGGCATTTTCTGCATCATGGCGGCATTCAAAGGTCACAAAAGCATAGCCACGAGAGTGGTTGGTTCTTCTGTCTCTGCACACTTGTACAGTACAGATGGGGCCGAATGGGAGGAATACTGCATGCAGCTCTTGTTCGGTCACGTCTGAGTGCAGATTACGCACAAGCAGTGACCTTGGTTCATCAGAGCTGTTCTCTCTGGGCTCAGTCTGTTCTTTGTCTTTAGGTTCACTGTTCCCGTCACAGACCTCTCTGCGCGGCTGCAGTTCCCCAAAGAGGGCATCATATATGGCAAACCTATCCCTGTGTCTTGCCAGGATCTTAACAGTCATGTTCTGGGCCCATGTGATGCGCATTGGTTTGCCCAAGATCTCCAAAAAATTCAGAGCCACTAGGGCATTTTCTGCTTCATGGCGCTGTTCAAAGGTCACAAAACCATAGCCTCGAGACCGGCCCGTTCTTCTGTCTCTGCACACTTGTACAGAACGGGTGGGTCCGAATGGGTGAAATATTGTATGCAGTAATTGTTCGGTCACATCTGGGTGCAAATCGTTGACCGTTATCTTCATCTGAAGACCAATTGTAGGACGTTGCCATTTTGATTGTCTGTCAGAGAAGATTCTACGAAAAAGCTATTCTAAAAAGTCTATACAAGCACAAATGCTATAAAGATGCTTCAGTCATATAAACTGACTGCTTTGCAAGCCCCAGAAAGTTCTCAAATTCTAATGGCTGTGACGTCACGGATCACGTGACATTCCTCGGCAGACAAAAAAATTGAATGCCTAAAATTGAGTTTACAATTTAGTTTAATTCTATATTATTATTATTATTCATTATTTTATTAATTAATACTGTATATTTTTATTGATTCTTTTTTAGTGTTGTACTTAAAATTACATTTTCCAAAGTCCCTGTTCTTTTTGAAGATATAATAGTGCTTATGATTTTTATTTTGTTCCTATAATGATAAAAAAAACTGTCCCAATTAGGTCGCGTTTGGTCAGCCGTTTTGTTATCATTTACATGTGTTTTACTTTCTGATTGACACCCGAAATATGCAACAACATAGTAAATATGAAAATTAATTCTTAAACTCATGTATTCTTAAAGTCGTGTATCTAAACTTAGTTTTCCCATAAGGCCAATAAAAATGGATTTGTTATAGTCATGAAAAATGTTTTTGAACGCTCTAACGTTGTATGAAGAATGTGAAGTTTTACCGAGGTATGTTCGGATGGCAGGGGCTTTTTGGTGTAACGGCCATTTATAACTAAATAAATAATTTTCAAAGTTGCAAAAGATTCGATTCACTCGGTTGAATCAAAATCCCCACCACTGAATAAAACTACAATGACCAATGAGCAATCTGTGGAAAGCGCTTTCCGCTTGTGATTGGACGATGGCCGGCGATGGGTTACGTGGCATTGGAGTCGTTGCGCATGCGCAGTGCGCGTTTCACCTCCAGTGTCAAGATGGTGGCAGTCAGAATGCAGTTTACACTTTATTTGGTGTTGTTGTTAAACATTTACAACAGTTTTGTGTCTGCGTTGTATTTTCATATCGGCGAGACTGAAAAGAAATGCTTCATAGAAGAAATACCGGACGAAACCATGATAATAGGCAAGTAACGTTAGGAAAAACGGAATAAGCCAACTTTGTAGTGCACGTTAATGCTTAGCCTAATGCTAACTAGCAGGTTTGTCAGGTAGAGTTCATTCTTTAGCAACCAGCTTGACTTCAGCTAGTTCAACTAAACAACATATAAGTTACAAATGAGCTAGGTTTTTACGTAACTTAGACAAAATAGTATTTAAATAGACATGTAGATGCATACTGCACCGAGAAAGCAACAGTATTAACTAATACGCTTTTTTTTTAAGCACTGAATGAAGTTTTTAAGGTAACGCCATAGTGATCCATCCTGCTGGACTTTGGCGAAATTAGATGAAGAGATGAATTATGAGACAAGAATCTGATGTTGAAATATCCTGAATGCAGTGACACAACACCAAGTGAATATGACATAACTTCTCACTCTATGATAATGACTTACTGTGTTTAGTCAGGTATTCTTGTCAGTGGATTATTATGAAATGACTTCGATCTCTTTTCTTACAACTATGTAAATCTGTCTTAACCAGGTAACTACCGAACGCAGCTCTATGACAAGCAGAAAGAAGAGTATTTGCCTGCAACTCAAGGACTTGGGATGTTTGTGGAAGTGAAAGATCCCGATGAGAAGGTCTGTCTGATTAAAGGTCTTGCGAGTAATAAAAGTCAAGCATGTTTGCATTTCGTTGTTCTCATTTGCTTATCTTTTTTGGGGTTTCAGGTGATCCTGTCCCGCCAGTATGGATCTGAGGGCAGGTTTATCTTCACCTCACACACACCCGGAGAGCATCAAATCTGCTTGCACTCAAATTCCTCAAAATTTGCTCTTTTTGCTGGAGGGATGCTTGTGAGTTTATTTTGTGCACCGCTTCTTCTGCTCTCCTCAAACTATATTTATAAATACGCTGTTGAGACAAGTACAGTATTGCAGAATACACAACGCAAATATGATCCACACGTCCTGACAAAATGTTGTGAGGAAATAAATGTGTTAATCCATAAAACTTTTTGAATAATTTAAATTTAGATTTTATTTACAATTTTATTTAATTGTACATTAAATAAATGTTAGCGTATTAAATGCAAGGAAAGTGTCAACTTTAATGTTTCAAATAATTTTTGCGAAAACAAAATATGGGGGAAATAATGTTCAATTATCATGCATCGTAACATATTTATTTAAAAAAAAAACATACATATTCTGACCTGTATTTGTTCAAATATAGATTTTTTTTTTTACATTTTAAATTATTAAAAACTTCTTGCTGATAAATGGGTAAAACCTAGTGGTTTTAAGGAGATTGTCATAGATTGGTAATGATTTCAAATGATGATAAATTCGTTTTTGGGGCTGCATTGTGATCCTTAAATAGAGGCTTTTAATGTCATCTAATGATTCTTGCTCTAAATATCCCTGACAAGATTTTTTTTGGTTACACTATTAACTATTGTTACACTGAATGACATTTTAGTAGGTGTCTTCTGTTAATCATGGTAAAAATGTGCTTAGAAAAAAAACACTGTAAAATACAAAAAACATTAAAAGCTTTATTAAACTTTTTTATTATATAAATATAATATACCCCCCCCAACACACACACACACACACACACAATTCGAAATATGTGACCCTGGACCACAAAACCAGTCATAAGGGTCAATTTTTCGAAATTGAGATTAATTATGAATAAATAAGATGAATAAATAATCTTTCCATTGGTGTATGGTTTGTTAGAATAGGACAATATTTGGCCGAGATACAACTATTTGAAAATCTGGAATCTGAGGGTGCAAAAAAATCGAAATATTGAGAAAATCATCTTTAAAGTTGTCCAAATGAAGTTCTTAGCCATGCATATTACTAATCAAAAATTAAGTTTTGATATATTTACGGCAGGAAATTTACAAAATATCTTCATGGAACATGATCTTTACTTAATATCCTAATGATTTTTGGCATAAAATAAAAATCAATAATTTTGACCCATACAATGTATTTTTGGCTATTGCTACAAATATACCCCAGCGACTTAAGACTGGTTTTGTGCTCCAGGGTCACAAATATAATTTTTATTTTTTTATTGTGTAGAGCACCATCTAATGTTCAGTGGCTACCTATTCAGACAGCTTTTGCTTTTGAATCTTTGATACAGCGTGTTCACTTGGACATCCAAGTTGGTGAGCATACAAACAACTATGCAGAAATCGCTGCCAAGGACAAGCTGACGGAGCTGCAGCTGAGGGTGCGACAGCTGATGGAGCAGGTGGATCAGGTCCAGAAAGAGCAGAACTATCAGAGGGTAAGTGCTCTGTGGGTTTGAGGTTATACAGAACCAGTGATAGAACATGGTATTTCTGTCATATGTGCACAAGAATGATCCTAATCAGAATTTTCTTGTCCTTCCAGTATCGCGAGGAGCGCTTCAGACAGACCAGCGAGAGCACCAATCAGAGGGTCCTGTGGTGGTCTATCGTCCAGACGCTGATCCTGGTGGCCATTGGGTTTTGGCAAATGAGACATCTGAAGAGCTTCTTTGAGGCCAAGAAATTAGTATAGAACTGTAGTCCGATTTTTTTTAAAGTTGTGATGATTGTCAGTTGATACAGTACACGCAGCATTTTGAAGATTGCCTGCTTCATGTGTGGTCAAGGCTGCTGAAAAGTCAACATGCTCAGTTTAGTTCCCTCCCTAAATTGCCCTCTTTTATCCTGCATTGAGATTTGTCTTACGCTGCTCGTTTCAGTGCCACACCCCATGTAATGTGAACCTAGTTTCTGTTCAGAAACACATTACAGTTTGTTACTGTTTGGAGGTGATAGGCACTCAACAAAAGCAGTTAACTGGATTCAAAACACAAATTGCATAGTGGTTGCCTTATTTGTTATAGCCCCATCATTTGTTTCAGAAAGCTGATGAAGACATTGACTATTAACTGGGCTGCGAGTATGATGTTTTTCCTAAATGACCTTGGATTATTTGCTTAAACATTTACAAGACAAAAATAACCGAGTTTATCCTGGTGGCAGGTGTAAATGTGTTCTGTTGTTTAGTTGTGCAGTAATTAGTATGATATTTAAAGTTTTGCTCAGAGTGAATGTTTCTTGGTGTTTAAATTTCTATTCTTTATACAATTGGTTGATGTTTTCTTTTCTATACCCCCATTTTTTTGTTTTGTTTTTTTGCTGTCAAGAACACTCGGATCATGTTAGAATCAGGCCACCTTCCCTTTTTGATAGCTACAATTTGATGCTGACCTCAGTGATTTTGAATAACCGTGTACATGTTTGAAATGTATATATCCAAATAAATGGCAAAATGTAGTTATCAAAAGGTGAAATGTTTAATTATGAGTACTTGACACATTGAAATAAATGCTATCAAAAGGTTTTATATTTTTGATGAATACCTATTAGCTATCGAGCCTGTTACTCTGACAAGAGTTTTTCTGTTTCCTTTGAAAGCCGTCTAACCATCTTACACAGACATCATATTTTTCACATCTTTTTTTTTCTATTGTAAACTCTTCAGGTTGATGTAGAGATTTCAGTGGTTTATTCACTCTTAAATTGATCTGCCCAGAATACACTGTAAAAAACGCAAACGATATTTGTGATTTGCTTGCTTTTTCAGATACCATAGCTGGTGTCATAATGTTGTTTTCTTAAAAAAAAAAACAAGACTACATGTTGTTTTGAGTGTTTTGCTATGCATAGATTACTGCTCACTGAAATCACATTTGTATGGTTTAACTTTTTTGTTTTGTTTTTGGTCGTTTTAGTTTGTGAACAGCCACTGGGAAATGGGGTTATTTTTTTAAGTAGGGACAGGGGAAGGAAAATTTGTTGGCGAGAAATCTACCCTATAATTGCACTCAGAAATAAAGTTTCCCACTCTCCCCAACATTGGCTCAGTTGTCTTCATAATTATTTGGTAAAACAACTTCTACAAGATAGTAATTTGAGGAATTAATTTACTAGAGGAGAACAAAAATTCACATTTCCGCTAAATTAACTAATGTCATTTTCATTACATAGCTCTATTTAAACTATTCAGAACTTTAAAAATGTAATTGGATGTATGATATTTTATTTACTAGACCATCTACAGCTGTTAACCCGTTAACAACGTCCGATTCGTGATCAAATCTTTCTTTGGTTCGGATCTTTTCAGTGAATCGGTTGAATCGTTTCACTTAAGCTGCAAAACTGTTTTATTAAAACCTGCAAAATGTATTTTATTTCAGCTAATAAATGTAAATATTTTGTTTAATGTAAATACATCGTTTATCTATGTTCTAAATAACGTTTATGAGCTAAATGAAGATTGCAACACACTGAACACAGGACACGAATAACTAAAGTAAACACCTTAACTTGCGTAATAAACATAATAAACAGTGCGTTGTGCATACTATGAAGCTTTAATGGAGCGTGTAATATTCTACTGGAATGTCGAATCATGCGATAGCGTAAAATAGTCACTGCGTCGTTTTAACCGGTTCATTAAAATGAACTGTTCTAAAGAACCGATTCTCGGAAAAGAGTTGAATTTCCCATCACAGCTGCTCGTTAGTTAGTCATATCTGTACATTTTTTTGTATCACTGTCCTTTGGTTACCTATGCTTTATGCATATAACGGTATTCAAATATTTCTGATTATGTCTCTAAATTAATTGTACCGGTCAGGTCAGAAAATCATAGGAACTTTATTCCGTACGTTGTTTCCAGAGGAATATTTCAAAGATGGACGGTTGCAGCCTGCGTGTGATTTTGTTTTTTTTGTCACGGTTGTCACTTAAGTTTTTTAACGGTTACCGGCAATGACGCGCCGTATAAAACAAGCGGAAACCATATAGCATTTCTGAGGCATGTAAAACACGTCTAAGTAATTCAGACGAATGTGTTAACCTAAAATCATTACCGCGAGCTTGTGCGCTTGTTTTTTTGGTCGTACCGTCATGAGTGACGTGTACCTGAACTCACCACATTTTCTAATCATAACATCATGAAATATGTTTATGATTGTGCTTTATGGAGGATAGATAGAGTGATTGGCATGGTACCTACTATGAAAGAAATCATTCAAGCCGACCGCTAGGAAGAATGGGATTTAAAGTTGCAAGTCATTTGTGATGGAAAGAGACAAAAGACACTGTTGCAAACTAGGAATTTGAGTTTAACATGTAGATGACATGATCTCAAGCTCGAGGCTGTGTCAGTGAAATACTCGTGAAGATATTACGATCTGCTCGCGTGGTACAGCGCTGCTCTGAGAGGCTCAAAGATGATGTACTCTTCACGGAGAAAACCTGTGCTGTATTTCAAAGATGACAGAAGGTAAACGCTTCAGTCATAGCATGCATATGAACGTGTGGCCACTCTAATGTGTGTTTTATTTCGATATAATCTTATTCCGATAGATGCATTGTTGCAGGCATTTGCAAGTGGTGGTCTGTGGGTTTGTAAAAGCTTCTGTGTGAACGAATACAGATCTTAGCTTGCTAGTAGTTGTCATGTGTTTCATCATTTCAAGACGTGAAAGTCAAAGGGTGCAGCGACATGGAGAGGTTCAGTGAGTATGAGGCATGTGTTGAGAAGTGTGTAGAGTTTTAACCCTGTAAAGCCTGACATGTGCAATAATAGGCAGAATAAATCATTCTCAATGGACCTGCTTATTGGACCTTTAGACAAAATATGAAAGAAAATCTTAAACGTTTGCATATGTTTGATGCATCAGGCTTTTATGGCTCATATAGTATGATACAGTGAGAATATGGAGCTCAGCACAACTTGCAATGCAATGCAAACTAATGATGATTAAGAGTTGAACAATTAGATGTTCCTTTAAATATGATACAATAGGCAGTTTTGATACTCATATTTTTTTCTAGATAGTCAAGTAAACGTAATTTGCATCAGTCCAGTAAATGTTCATCTTGAAATATTATTAACAATAGGCCTATATGTAATTCTTACAAAAAAAATCAGTAAAGATTTTGCAGCAAAAAGGCCATTTATTGGCTTAAAATGTATAAACTATCAGTCAGATAACAGAAAGGGTGTAGTAGATTGTGTACTACAGGTTTTTAAGCAAAGTTTTAATAATTTTGCTACTTTATAGGCCTTAGAAATTCATGTATCAAATATGATACCTTAGGCTTTATAGGGTTAAGTCTGATTGAGCAAGATGCATGAGGTCCCTAAGGATCAACAATACGTTTGTCAACCAATGTAGCTAATGCTTGCAGTTGTATATTGTAAGTTGCTTATGCTAATTAATTTTGATCAACTGGCTCACTAAAACTCTTATTGTAACGTTTTTGTTGTACTTCAAAGACCCTGTGAAATCATAACTAGTTTTATTACTTTCTGTTAGCTTTTAAGTCACATGCAAAATTATTGTAATTAGGGATGCACGATATATCGGCCACCATATCGGTATCGGCCGATAAATGCTCATTTTTTCTGTTATCGGTATCAGCCAAAATTTTCATATCGGTGCATCCCTAATTGTAATAATAATACATAACTTTGTATTAATTGTAAAGAGTATTTCTCTTCTTGGAAAACGAACCAAAAAAGTATTGATGACTCATCTTGCACTCATTCGTTTTGTCCAATCAAATGCTCTCTAGAATGTGAATGTCCCTCCCGCTAATATTGCTTAAAGGTACAGTCACATTAGTTGAATTTCACGGGAAAAAGGCGGCCTATTGTCAACTGTAGCAATGTATGAAGCACAGCTTAACATGAAAACAAGTAACTTTCTGTTGGACAGCACTGCAGATTTGCAGAATCAACATATAGCTGTTGTGAAATCTGCATAGGGAAATCTTTTGTGCTCCCACGAAATTCCCAGTTACTTGGATCACTATTGAAATGACTGGATTTTGCACTCAAAAAATATGATAAATGTGACTGCACCTCACTTCTGACTTGTGTTTGAGCTCTAATTCCCGTTTTAAAGGGAAATACGCCAATTTCATGCATTAAGCATTTAAATGGGTTTTTTAAAGCGTATGGGGGCCTTTAATAAGTGTTGACCACTGATGTTTTGTTTGCAGGGACTGTTGTGGTCCATTTATTTAGTGCTTGAACAGTTATGTCAGTTTGAGGTTTCACACAAATGTATTCATGTTTCCAGTTTTCTGTCGAGGAAATGCACCGTCTGGAAGCTCTTTGGGCTCTGCATGCTGTTTGTTTTGGGCTCTCTTCTTTGGGTGCAGCTGACTTGTTCAGGAGACATGAGCCAGACGGTTGGGTCCAGTCACCTCCCTCACCAGCCCTGTCCTGTAGAGAGACAGTCCTCGTCTGCTGATGACCCATCCTGGGGCCCTCATAAAATGGCCCTCATTGTGCCATTCAGAGAGCGCTTTGAAGAGCTGCTTGTATTTGTCCCTTATATGCATGCTTTCCTCAACAAAAAGAAAATACGACATAAAATATTTATTGTAAACCAACTGGATCACTTTCGGTGAGTACCTTTCATCGCTGGAATAGTTTAGGCTCCCCCGAGCTGAATTCATATGTATGTATTTGTTCTTTTATTGAAAGCCGTATCCATTGCACAACAGTTTGTATCCATGCTTTTCAGGTTCAATCGGGCCTCTCTTATTAACGTTGGGTTTATGGAAAGCGGTAATGACACAGACTACATTGCAATGCATGATGTGGACTTGTTGCCTCAAAATGAGGATCTGGACTATGGATTCCCGAAGGAGGGTCCCTTCCATGTGGCCTCGCCAGAGCTTCATCCCTTATATCATTATAAGACGTATGTTGGAGGAATCCTGCTGCTTTCCAAGAAACATTATCAGCTGGTAAGAAACCTGAATACTTGTGAGTATTGAATACTGCTTCTGAAGAGAATTCGTTTGCAAATTACAATCGCTTGTCATGTGTGTCTGAAGTGCAATGGGATGTCGAACCGCTTCTGGGGATGGGGAAGAGAAGATGACGAGTTTTTTAGAAGACTGAAAACAGCTGATCTTAAGGTACTTGAAAATGTTTGAAAAATAAAGAAAAGATGTTATCTTTAGCTGTATTTCTGATTTCATAGATCATTTTGTATTTACCATTCAAATATCTGCAGCTTTTTAGGCCAACGGGTATTACTACAGGAACTAAAACATTTCGACACATCCATGATCCAGGCTGGAGGAAGAGAGATCAGAAGCGGATCGCTACACAAAAGCAGGTAAAAAAAATCTGGACGTTAAAATATGTATACCTCATATGACATTCAGCAACATTATGGTTATGTATTAATCATGTGATACATTTTCCAACCTCAAAAAAAGAGTTTGATTTTGCTTTTTTTAAAATTTGTTTATTTGATATCTTTTGATGCCATTTAGCAGACAAATGTCTAGTAAGTATATATTTGATCTACCTTTCATAGGTTAGATGTTTAGTGTAGTTGGCGACCGATATTGGTTTTTTTGACAGCCGATGCCGATATCTTGGAAAGCAGGGTGGCCGATATAAAGCCGATATAATTGTATTTATTTTAATCAATATTTAAGAAATTTGAAATAATTTGAAAATGGATTAAAAAATACATTTGTAAAATAAACGTACTTATACTTTAGGTGACAAAGTATTTTCCACAAATAAATAAATATTTAATAAAAATATAATTAAAAAGGAAGTAAACTGTAACCAACATATTCTGAGAAGTTTGTATGCATTGGGAATCATATTTTTCAAATAAAGCCAAGGTAACACTCATTTTACATACAGCACAGTGAAAACGACATGAATATGACAGTGGGCAAATGCATAAAGCTCAGCATAATTTGAAATCACAAATTTAATGTTTAAAGCATTCAGTTTGCACGGACCGAAAGTCACGCAGAAAACACGCGATCATGCAGGTCACATGCACACTTCACAAGATC